GAGGGGAGAGTGTCAAACCAGCTCTTGGTAAATAAAAATTTAATAAGGGGAACACGGCACCAGAATCGGGAGATAATAACTTCAAGTTTTTTCGACGGACTGCACTAAAATTTCCATAGAAATTTGAGACGACTGAAGGGCAAAAACTATTCTTGTTTTCTTCCGATACAATGTACGAAATGTTTTCTACTTCCCCTTGGGATATTTCTGCGCCCAACATGGTTTTCTTACTGCCTCAAAGATCGGAGACAAACCTAGCTTTCTGCCCCTCAGCTGGTTATGCACTGCCCTCATGATCGGCCCATTTCAACCAAGCGAAGGTGTTATATGATGCCGTCAAGTTATGTGACCTTCCGATACGTCATAAGCATTTATGGTATGTGACGTCATATGATGATTTCACGAATGATGATTTCTTGCATTTTTCATGTTCACGCCGCCGACGTGAGAAGACGCCGCACACCACCGGCGATAAATTTTCGTTTTTGATGAGACATTTAAAGCTAACATTTTAATGCATTTTACGGCTGTAGCTCCGCGAAATTGCAGCTTCCGCTGCTGTTCGGGGGAGCGTGCTGGCAGTAAGCAGGCAGAAAAATTGGTCTCCTAATAAATCTTCGTACTACATGTAGCCGTCATTTACAACCCGAGCCTTTTATTGAATATGAGTAGTGGCGGCTGAAGGCTACCCATCACGTTTGGCAACATGGCAGTTGGAATCACTAAACGGGAGCGCGATGTATCTAAACAGTCAGCAAATGAGTCTATCAGTAGCAACGCTTCCCCGCTATCGCTGCCGTGTGCAACGCTAACATTACGCCCCGAAGCTGAATGGCAACCCATGGGCACCACACAGCCACTTGGTGTCTACTCTGCTCGCTACCAAACTTATATGCCTGAGGAAAGAAGAAAAAAAGAAACAGCTAGAGCTGAGCAGCCGGATAATAAGTTTACATCAATCCGTCCACAAATACACAGACAAGCTCAAGCAACTGACCACAGGCCGCATTTTTCATGCCTGTCACCTTGGCTGAAGTTGGGAGTCGACATTAGACTTCAGATTTTAACAGCGCCTGTTCAAAACACATGCAACGATCGCAGAAATCACCCCGCATATAGAGATGTTCTTGTTTATTTCACGATGATTTCATTGTTTAAGCTCTCAAATGGTGAAATCACCTGCAATAGTTCCTCATTTTTTGACACTTGCTTTTCCTCGGTGGCAACACACGTCAGGCTTTGCGAAGGGAGCGGATGATGACCTATATACCTGGAAGCAGTCTAGTGACATTTTGTGTGATTTAGTGCATGAACTCCAGGCTTGCGCATACTGTGCTACGCCAGAGTAGCAAGCATCGGGGAACATTAGGCACCCAAGCTTATAACATTATCTCCTGGCAAAGGCTTTTCTCAAAAATCGACTTTCAGTTAGTCGAAAAAGCAACTCTCAGTCTAGCGAACGCCACAGGGATAAAAAGATCCTCCACTGACTACTTGCATGAGCTATCTGGTGTCGACCTAGCTAGCAAACGACGCGCGAGCGCATCGATCAAGTAGTCGCGAACGACTCAAGCCTTCAAAATGAGCTGAGTTCCCAGAACAACAAGTGATTCACGTTTCTCGTTTCCAAGTTTCAATTACACCTTAAACAATGCGATTGCAGCCGAAAACCGAGCCGTATAGCCGCTGCGAATGCATCCGCGGCATTCATTTGCGCGAGCGACGACGCGGCGTCATCTCTACTCCAGTTGCGGCGCCTGGCGGCGAAACACCGCACTAGCACCGACGGCCGCTTCTCATTGAAATCCGCTCTTTCAACCGGGCACTGAAAAAATAGAGGAGGCGCTGCTTGGAATAAACGACGTGCCACCTGTGTTCTGTTGAGTGAGTGTCGTGCATTCTAACAGTGGCGACGAGGACAACGAGGACCTCAACCAGTCCTGGACCCGCAGAGCCATGAGCATGGGATGGCCAACAGTTTTTGAGGGAACGTGGTGAACGTTCCGAGTTCGCCACGAAGCCTACTTCGAAGTGCAAGACATCACGGACGCGACGAAGCGACGAGCAGTGTTATTGGCCACGCTTCCGGACAGCGCTTTTCGGGTGGTGCAGGGACATTGCCATCCGAGGCAAATCAACGTACTTAACTACGGCGATTCCGTTAATTACCTCGAGGAGTACTGCGCCCCGGAAGTCAACGAAATAGCGGCAAGTTATGTTTTTTCACTCGATCGCAATTAGAAGGAGAGAGGGTACAGGAATTCATTACCGAAATAAGGTGGCTGGATAGAAAAATGCAATTTCGGATCGTCACTCGAACGCATGCTACGAGACCGAATCGCGTGTGGAGTCTTAGATGAAGACGCGAGAAGACATTTGCTGACACTCAGGAACCTGACGCTAACGGAAGCAGATGATTTCGTTATTGCAGATCAGAACGTGGCCACAAATGCTAAAAGCATGCAAACTACCGATCAGAGTAGCATTCAATTCATGCGTCAGAATCGGCCACGACAAGGGCAATCGAAGGCCAAAGGCACGACACCTTGCCATAGGTGCGGTAGTGAAGCTTACTCGAACGAGCAGTGCTATCACGTCCGTACAGTCTGCCGCCGATGCGGTAAACCAGGACATGTCCCTCGAATGTGCCGAGAACAAACCCAGTGCAAGTCCCGTGGTATAGTCTCCGATACCGCAGCTTCTTCCCTTCTTAAAGTTTCAAACGATCAGGAGCGTGGCACTTTCGCGTTGAGCACCGCAAAGGTTGAGTTGCCGGCATCGGTGAATCTCTTGCTCTTTCACTCGAAAGTTCTTGACGGGCCGATAGCGTGTCGGTGTCGCACGATTCGTCAACTGAAATGTCCTGGCGTCGCACTTGGGCAAAATGCCGCCGGTCCGTTCCCTCGGTTGTGTCCAATGCGATCATGCGCTTGGCCTGATGGTCCCGCTCGATAACTGGTATCCACCTTTTCCATGGCCGGAACGTTCTTGTGCAAACACGCTGTCCTACCGGCCATCGCTGTTCTCGTTCATTGCATGGCTTGCTCTAACAGCATCTGTGGCTGGCATGTAGCAGTCGAGTTTCGTTCGTACTTGATACACCAGCAAAAGCTCCGCTGGAGACTTGCCCTCCTTCATTGGCGTGTGGCGGTAACGGAACAGAAATCTTGAAAGTCAAGTGTGTAGCGGAATTTCTTCGTTTTTCTTCAAGCCTTCCTTCAACGTTCTCAAGGCTCACTCCGCTAAACCATTTGATTGGGGATGATAAGGCACTGTCACCAAGTGTTTTACTTGGTTCTTAGCTAGGAAACTGCGTAATTGGAAACCCGTGAATTGAGGTCCATTTTTTATCACAAGAGTACGTGGTAGATAGAACCTCGCAAACACTGCCCTCAGGGCCTCCATTGTCACTTCTGCTGTTGCATATTTCGTTAGAACTGCTTCCATACACTTTGTTTCGGCATCCATAACTACCAGTATCATGTGTCCCTGAATATGACCTGCATAGTCGGCATGGAACCGGCTTCATTTTTCTCCTGTCGTGGGCCATGGTACATGTGTCTGCACTGGAGGCATCGCCACAGCCTGTATACAAGCAGGACATCCACGCAACAATCGCTCGATCTCACTGTCTACACCGAGAAACCAAACCAGGGATCTCGCAATGTTTTTCATGGTCACCATGCCTTTGTGTGTTTCATTAAGCAAGTCCAAGATGCGTCGATTTAAAGCCGTGGGAAGCACGATGTGGTGTCCCTAGTAGACCAAGTCTTGGTAGTAAGTGAGCTCAGCCTTCTTGCCGAAGTACGGCCGGAAGTGACTCTGCTTTTCAGACAAAATTTTGTCTAGCCTTTCTTAATCCAGAATTTAACTTGCTGCAGCCGAGAATCTGTTTCTGTAAAATGTACCAGATCGCTGACACTAATTGCTTCTTTTTCTAAGCATTCCGAGTACAGGACATACTCTGGTAGATTTGCTGTGCTGGTATCGTGTGGTGTGTTCGGTTATGAATAAGGCATCAGCATTTGAGTTTTTGATTCCCCTGCGATACTGCAATGCGTAATTAAAGTGTCCAAGAAAAGAGCCCACCTCTGAATCCTTGCCGCAGCCATGGGAGGAATGGCTTTTCCTGGGTTAAACAAACCCGCCAGTGAATGTTTATGATCGGTTACCAAAACAAAGTGATTGTCGTATAAGTAGTCCTTAAATCGCGTCACGCCGAATACAAGAGCCAATGCTTCCTTTTCTAGCTGGTAGTAGTTTAACTCCGCCTTGGACAAAGTTCTGGAGTGAAATCCGATCGGATAGTCCGTGCCATTGATGCGATGGGAAAGTACTGCCCCCACTCCTGCAGATGAAGCGTCACATTCCAACTTCAAATGTTTGTCAGGGTCAAAGTGTGTCAAAAACTTTGACCTTTGTTAGCCTGGTTAACCTTTCTAACTGCTTCCTCGTGTACCTGCTGCCATTTCCACATAGCTCCTTTAGTTAGCAGATTGTATAATGGCGCTAGTACTATGGAAAGGTTGGGTAAAAATTAGGCATAATAGTTCATTACGCCGAAGAAGTATTGCAGTTCACTCACTGACTCGGGGACCGGTACTTGAAGGACAGCTTCAATGTTGTCGTCCTTCGGTTTGAGCCCAGTAGCACCAACTCGATGTCCAAAGAAGGTGACTTCTTGTCTGAATTTGCATTTTTTGATGTTTAGCTTGAGGTCATAGTCCCGTAAGCGCAGCAAGACTTGCTTTAGCCGTGAAGCGTATTGCGCTTTTCAGCCACTATGATGCCATCCAGATAGGCTTGTACACCCGGGAGATTCTTGAATAAGGAATCCGTATGCCTCTGGAAGATGGACGGAGCTGAGAAAGCCTATTTAAGCAAAATATATAGCCCTTGTGAGTATTCGTGACTGTCAGCTTCTTGGCCTCGTCGTCCAGGGGCAGGTGGTTGTGCGCTTGAGTCAAATCCAGTGTACTAAATACTTCACCGCCATTCAGTCATGTGAAGATGTCATCCACATGAGGTAGTGGGTACTGCTCAGTCACTGTGGCCGTGTTTACTGTCAGGCGAAAATCTCCACACAGTCGAATGGACCCATCAGTCTTAACAACTGGAACCACTGGCGTTGCCCAATTCGCTGCCATAACTGGTGATATCACAGCGTCGGTAACCAATCGGTCCAAAGCAGCAGACACCTTGGTTGTCAAAGCGTATGTCTCCGTGCGTGCTTTGCAAAAGCGGGGCGTGGCATTTTCCTTGAGGATATGCTTCACAGATGGACCCTTGTATAGTCCTAAACCTGGCGGAAACACGTCTTCGAACTGTTTGAGCAAAGTGTGAAGCTCCTGGCTCTTGCAGTCTTCCTTGCGCGCGTTGAGGTTTGGGACGACATTTGGCCTCAACATGGCCACTCCGCAATTGTTAAACACCTTGATGGTATCCCTTCCGCATAACGCTGGTCCAGGTGTATCGACGATAACCAGGGTGTCCTGTACGTCATGCCCTTCACAGGTCGCTTTCATGAGCGCTTCTCCAACCACTGGAAGTTCTCCCAAAAAACATGACGATTTGAGAGTGGTGCTGCTTGGAGGCGGCCATCTGCTTTGATTCTGTTTGAACAGGCTCATTTAAATAACGCCACCAGGTGACCCCGTATTGATCAACATGGTAACCGGCACATCATTCCAAGTAATTTTCTTGAAAATTGTCTTAACCATGCAGTCAGTACTTGTTTTGCGAGCCACTATAGTATAGAGTTGTAAAATACTATGTCTACTTAGGGTAGGTAATAAGAGCGGAGTCGAACCACGAGATTGAAGTAAGTAGAAGAATAAGAATGGGGTGGAGCACATTTGGCAAGCACTCTCAAATTATGACAGGTAGGTTGCCACTATCCCTCAAGAGGGAGGTATATAACAGCTGTATCTTGCCGGTACTTAGCTATGAAGCAGAAGCCTGGAGACTTACAAAGCGGGTTCAGCTTAAATTGAGGACGACGCAGCGAGCAATGGAAAGAAAATTGGTAGGTGTAACCTTAAGAGACAAGAAGAGAGCAGAGTGGATTAGGGAACAAACGGGGGTTAAGGATATCATAGCTGAAATCAAGAAGAAGAAATGGACATGGGCTGGGCATGTAGCGCGTAGACAGGATAATCGCTGGTCATTAAGGGTAACTAACTGGATTCCAGAGAAGGCAAGCGGGTTAGGGGGAGACAGAAGGTTGGGTGTGCAGCTCAGATTAAGAAGTTTGCGGGTATAAATTCGCAGCAGCAAGCACAGGACCGGACTGGGTTAAGTGGCGGAACATGGGAAAGACCTTTGTCCTGCAGTGGACGTAGTCAGGCTGATGATGATGATGATGATGATGATGACGATGATGATGATATAGAGTTTCTTCTCATGTTCCGAGCTATCATCAGCTGTGCCGATAGGATGTGCACCCTCTGCTCGTGAGCTAACAGCTGATCGCTCATCGGGCTGTCACTCTCAGCTCGTTGACAACCATCTACGTCAAGTGAAAAATCCTCGACGTCATGACGGTTTCTTTGAACATCCCTGCTAAAAATGATCTGAGGAATTCTCGCCGCCAAACGACTTCGACAGCACCAACAACGCGTCATTCACGCACAACACACACACGGTGCTACTCACCACACTTACCTGGGGGTGCGGAGATCATTTCGCTCCGATACCCGGCAAGAAAAGAATCGCTTGCAGTGTGCTGCCATCTATCAACGAACGTAAAAAACTAACGGCACAGCGTAGACCAAGATTGCGAGTCTGCGCTACTTTCCGCGTACAATGAATGTTATGGAATTCACGCACTACAAAAGAACTGACGCTTTCGTCAGTGCTTTTGGTATACGCACGTAAAACAAGACGACTTTTAACTGAAATGGTCAGACGTTAACATTTACCTATCCAAAGCGGCTGCAGAAAATATCGCGAAGCTGATATGTGTACTATGCGAGCTATAATCGAAAGCGCGAGTTGCCATGTATTTTCACAAAAACTTCGCACCTCGCAAGAACGAATCAGATTTATCATGTCACGACGGTCCGTTATATTCACTGACGCACGAAACATACAAAGTGACCTGTGTTCTTTTCTTGCTAACGCGTTAACACACTGCGGCTTGCACCGCCGTACAGCGCAGCATTAGGAGCGTCTGCCTACTGATCATCCATGAGAGGACACTCCTGAATTCCGCTAGGTGGCATGACAGTTTGTGACATTGCAAATTTATTTATATATATATATATATATATATATATATATATATATATATATATATATATATATATATATATATATTGTTACGGCGAGATGCCTTTATCTACAGGAGATGAGTCCAGGGATCTGGCCAATCACCACTCGTGCCAACCTCGTTTTCCTCTTCTTCCACGCGCCCCCTCAGTATCGTAGCAATTCCCCCTTTGCAGACGATGCCCACCGGGCGAGTTAAGCTTCGTTGCGATGATGATAGCGTTTTAGATGGGCAACATGAACAACGTTGGTCTTGCTCTAGCGGCGGCCAGTTGACAACAGCTGAGATATCACGTAAGTGATATCGCTGAGACGTTCCAGGACAACAAACGAACCCGTGTAGTTGGCCAGAAACTTTTGGCAGAGGCCGCGCTTGCGAAGCGGCCTCTGCCAAAAAAAGGCCGCTTCGCCGCAGAGGCGAAGCGGCCTCTGCGAAGAGGCCGCGCTTGCAAAGCCACACCAAATCCCCTTTCTCAAACAATACGTGCCGGTCACTTCTGTCGTAACGGTTCTTGGAGCGTTTCTGGGAGACGAAAGTTCGAAGACAGGCGATGCGCCGGGCCTCTTCTGCGCGGCAAATGGTTTCGGCGAGAGTAGGTTGATCAGTCTCGGAAAAAGGGAGGATAGTGTCAAGAGCTGTGCGGGGTTGGCGTGCGTAGAGCAGATAAAATGGACTGTAGCTCGTTGTTTCGTGCTGTGCAGTGTTGTAGGGGAAACTTATAAATGGCAAAATTGCGTCCCATGTTTTGTGCCCAGAATCAACATACATGGAAGTCATGTTTACGAGAGTCCTATTAGTTCGTTCCGTCAAACCATTAGCCTGCGGGTGATATGGGGTAGTGTGACGAAAATGGCAAGAAGCAAGACGAAGGAGGTCTTCAACTACATCAGCAACAAATTGCCACCCACGATCACTGATGACACGGGGGGATCCATGGCGTAATATAACGTGTGACAGCATGAATTGTGAAACTTGAGTGGCCGTTGCCGCAGGAATCGCCGCAGTTTCGGCGTAACGTGTGAGGTGGTCAACGCCCACAATAATCCATCGGTTGCCATTCGTTGATCGCGGAAAAAGGCCGAGCAGGTCGACACCTACGACGTCAAATGGTGAACTCGGGGGTGCTATGGGATGGAGTAGTCCGGCTGGCGGAGTTGTAGGATGCTTGTGGCATTGACATTGCTCCCAGCTCGGAACGTATGCAGTCACACTTTTACGCATCTTCGGCCAGAAGAAGCGTTTTTGCGTGCGATAAAATGTCCTAGAAAAACCCATATGGCCAGATGTTGGGTCGTCGTGCATTGCTCAAAGTACGTGTTGTATACTTGTAGGCACAACTAGAAGTAGGCGAGGGCCTACGCCGGAATAATTCTTTTTGTAAAGAACGGCATCCTTTGCGACAAAACCACGTTGACCGTTCGTTCCGGAAATAAAGAAAGAATCGAGATTGTTGTCATTGCGTTGCTCTGCTCGAAAAGCTGTTAGGTCAGGAAACGGAGTATCCACTACAGCCAAATATTCATCAAAGTTGTCAGCGTCACACTCGGTTGTCGGAAGGGGAAGTCGTGAAAGGCAATCGGCGTCGGCATGACGACGACCGCTCTTGTAACAGACTTCAAAGTCGTGTTCTTGCAATCGTAACGCCCAACGAGCAAGACGACCAGATGGGTCCCGTAGTCCAGTGAGCCAACATAAAGAATGGTGGTCCGTGACAATCGAGAATCGGCGTCCATAGACATAAGGGCGAAACTTGTGCACGGCGAATATGACCGCGAGACATTCCTGCTCTGTGACAGTATAGTTTCGCTCCGGTTTACTTCAACAGCGACTGGAATAGGCAACGACGTGTTCAGCAGCTCCATGGCGTTGGACCAACCAAGACGGCGCCAATACCTACACCACTGGCGTCGGTATGAACTTCTGTGGCAGCAGATGGGTCATAGTGGCGAAGTACGGGTGCGGACGTAAGAACAAACTTGAGTTGCGAAAAAGACGACTCGCATTCTGCTGACCACCGAAAAGGTGCGTTCTTGTTGAGTAGGGACGTCAAAGGGTAAGCGAGGTCGGCGAACCTGCGCACGAAGCGACGGAAGTACGACCATAGGCCCAAAAAGCTTCGCAACTCTCGTACCGACTGAGGTTGTTTGAAGCTGCTGACTGCAGCGACTTTTTGGGGGTCGGGTCGAACGCCATGCTTGTCCACCAGGTGACCAAGAACGAGTGTCTCACGGCTGCCAAAGTGACACTTCTTGGAGTTCAGGGTGAACTTAGCTCTCTCAAGGCAGGTGAGAACAATGTCTAGACGATGGTTGTGTTCATTGAATGTAAGGCCAAAAATTATAATGTCATCTAGGTAGCAAAGACAAACTTCCCACTTTAGTCCACGTAACACAATGTCCATGAAGCGCTCAAACGTGGCTGGAGCGTTGCATAGGTTAAACGGCATTACATTGAATTCAAATATACCATCTGGGGTTATGAAGGCCATTTTCTCTTTGTCATTCGGGTGCATGGGGATTTGCCAATAACCAGATCTCAAATCCATGGAGGAGAAGTACGATGCCGAATGTAAACAATCGATGACATCATCAATCCCGGGAAGCGGGTAGACATCCTTTTTAGTAACTGAGTTGAGCCGCCTGTAATCCACGCAGAATGGCCATGTACCATCCTTATTTCGGACAAGAATCACAGGGGCAGCCCAAGGGCTACACGACTCTTGGATGACCCTTTTCTTTAACATCTCTTCTACCTGTTGAGCAATGACCTTGCGCTCCGCAGATGAGACACGGTATGGTTTCTGCCGGATAGGGTGAGTGGATCCTGTGTCAATCCCATGGCGAGTACGCGACTCGGGTACACTTATTTGCTCTTCATTCTGCGCAAAGTCAAATATCGTAGCGTGCTTCGCAAGGACTTCGACCAAAGCTTGACGTTTTTCTGATGATAGCGACTAGTTTATCATACTCAGAAAGTTGGCTTCTGTATGGTACGTTGCACGAATAGGATCTACTCTCTCGTCGCTTAAAGATGCAATAAAACCGGTAGATCGCATTTTGTTCGAAGAGGGCGAGTCGCATTCCGCAGGGCAGCATAACAGGTTCACTTGAATAGTTCGACACCCATAAGGCCGATCGC